GTAGGATCGCCCGTGGTCGTCAGGTTTTGCTCATGTTTGAAGTCCATTTCAAAACTAGTGAAGAAGCGGGTGCGTTGTATGGTACTGTGGACCTCCTGAAAATCTCGCTTGATAACAGAGAAAGAAGGACCTCATTCAGCAGTGCACCAAACCCTGGCAACCCAACCACCACAGGTGGGAACCACACCGCAGTGGCTACCGCTGCACGGCCTGCGGTGCAAGGATGCGTCAAGGACTGACCGCACAGGTCCTAGAAGACAGACTTGCAGAACAATGCGTGCAGCTCCAGGCGCCAAATGTGGCGCCAGCGTTCACAAGAGGGTCAACGAGAAAGCCTTCAATGAGTACATCCAGAGCCCATGTTTGGATTGTCCTTTCCCAGGACAACGCCAATAAGGACATCCCAGCCATCAATTATGGCAAAAAGGCAACAAGATCAGTTGCACCCTTTGTGGGCTCCAGCTACAGTTGGACAGCCAGCAAAGGGTGATCAGCGCCACAGCTTTCCTGAAGGAATGCAAAGGCGCAGGCACCAAGGGATCACCACAGATCCAACACTACTTCCAGCAGGCCTCTCAAGAGGGAACATCGCAAATCAATGACCCTACAGAGGCAACAACTGTCACCAGAACACCCGCACACCCCCGGAATCCCACACCTCGGCGGTTGCATTTCCAGACCGAGCTCAATTCCAATGAAGAACTGCCTGAAACCCAACCTGCGTTGGCCATGACACCCAGCCCAATAGCAGGAACGATGCCCGCAACAGCTGTCACCGCGGCTCAACAGGGCAGTGGGCCCAAACAGGCACACCACGACTGCAAGCAGTCAAGGAACTGCGGAAGAGGAACTGCCCGAGCTGGACGAATGCGTTGTGGACTTCTTCTAAAGCAGCGGTGCAGCTGAGCGGCCATGCCAAAACGGCATTGAACTGAGCACAGAAAAGGCCTCTCTAGGAAAAAATACATACATACATACATACATACGTACGTAAACATATGCATAGATGGAACATAAATTAGTGACAGATCAGCACTTGTCTCTAGCGTCTGAAGTTCTTTTAGCTCCTCCAGGCTTTGGTGCAGCGTCGACGACCGAGGTCACATGGCTTGCGGAGGCCAGAATAGACAGTAATCAAAGAATGTAATCAAAGAACACTACTACCGATGGCCTCCAACCTACTAGCGATGGCCTTCAACCTACCATAGCGATGGCCTCCAACCTACTAGTGATGGGCTTCAACCTACTATAGCGATGGCCTCCAACCTACTAGCGATGGCCATCAACCTACTAGCGATGGCCTTCAACCTACTATAGCCATGCGGTGGCGTCCAACCTACTCAAGCGACGGCCTTCAACCTCCTATAGCGATGGTCTCTAACCTCCTCTAGCGATGGCCTCCAACCTACTATGTCCTCCAACCTACTATAGCGATGGCCCCCAACCTACTATAGCGGTGGCCTTCAACCTACTATAGCAGTTGCCTCCAGCCTACTATAGCGATGTCCTCCAACCTACTCTAGCGATGGCCTCCAACCTACTATAGCGGCGACCTGCAACGTACTATACCCTGGCCTCCAACCTACTATAGCTATGGCCTCGGACCTACTCAAGCGATGGCCTCCAACCTACTCAAGGGATGGCCTCCAACCCACTCTAGCGATGGCCTCCAACCTACTCTAGCGATGGCCTCCAACCTA